GCGCGCTTAGAAGGACAACCTTTTTTGAATTAGCTGTATATATAGTACTACAAACTTAGACAAAACTTGTTGAGTCCAATAATCTAAATGACAATTACCACATGTAATTTATCACATGTGATAGGAGGAGGATTTGATCCAGAATAGATGTGGTATCCTTGAAAACAAAAATGTTTTCGTCACTGATTTTGGGACGAGGAGGCCAAAATCATGAAAATTGTTCCTTAAAAGTTTTGTCTAAGATTTTAGATACGATTGCATCCCGATGTCCGCCAAGTGTCCGCTACGGCTGACTGGTGGTAAAAAATGAAAATTATGGAAAATACTCAAACATTTAGTTTGTGCTATTTCTAGCTTAACATCTCTTATGAATGAAGCGAAGTTCTTTGGCATGTACGAATATATGTTTCAAAAAGGTGCGTACAATATGTGAACTGACCAAACAATTCCTTATTAATAATATATTATATAATACCGTATTGAATTCTGATCGTTTAATTGGTTGTTTATGGTCACGTGATATTGAATAGAAAATTCCATTTCGCCTCGTTGAATGGAACATTCCATCTTTCATTATTTGTATACTGTATATGAAAAAAATATGCTGAAGTAAGTTCATAGTCACTTGCGTGAATGGATCACATTATTTGCAAAATAAGAGAAATTAATTTTTTGGCACTGTATTATAAAGATTGCACTGCTCTTAACCAATCAGCATTGAGTAATTTTTTCATGTATATTGTTTTAATATTGCAATTCAAATAATAACTGATGTACAATTGCATTTCTGTTCAGGTCAAGTTTCATCTAGGAACATGTTGCAGTTTCAACGGACAACACATTGTACATTGGTGAGTATCTTGTCCCAAGTAGTAAATTGTGACGTTTAACCCGCCGCCACAGCCAAGGCTTTCTGTATTCTCTGTAAATCTAACCTAAAAGTGGAACGGTGATTAAAAGAACGTAAATCCTGGTGTTTAACCAAGGATGGATCTGGGTGGCGCTCTGTCAGCTCTGGTGCCGAGTTGTGTCGGTCATGTGTACCGTCTGTCCATCAACTTGCTGGACTACTGTATTTGAATTGCAATTTTTGTTCACAGTTCGCGTATCATCATGTTTAATATTACTAAAATTACTGTATCTCATTTTGTCTCTAATATTTTTTTTGCTTTATCATGAAAAATAGCACACACCCCCTCCGGCCAAGTCTAGGTGCAGTGCACGCCCCCCCCCCCCCCCC